AAAAAGCCAACTGACACAAACTACAGTATACTGATTGTGAGTTTTGTTGAATCAAACAATGTCAAACTTCTGGTCTTATTTGGAACCCTGACCTGGAGTCTTTGTATGTTTTCCCCAATAGGAAGGGACACTGTGAGTACATTAAAAAATACCACCTTCAATATATAGCTAGGTCCTGCTTGTATTGGTACTAGCCACATTGATGCTTGAGAAAAGAAGAATTTTTCAAAATTAGAACCAGATTACTGGCCACCAAAAATGAAAACATCTATCAAAAACCACAACATTGCCTTTGAATTTGTCCCCTTTTTTAAAAGTAAATAGTGTGTAAGGCCTTCTCAGATCTTCTATGACTTGATGGTGGCCAAAGACAAATGGATCCACCCTAGATTCATTCCAATCGGGTTTTGGCATCTCTAGAATTCCAAAGATAGCAATAAATTTACTAGAATTTAGCCGCAACCATAGTTTTTAGTTTCAGCCAAATCTCGGGATTTGATTTTTATGGCCAATACTCATGTGAGAAGGTTCCAGACACATGTATAATATGATTATTATGATGGATGTTATTGTTTCTCATTTTTTTTAATCATTTGATATTCTCCATAATTGGAATGATTAATCCAAAAGTGTGTTACTAGGCTGTTATCAAAATTTTCTTTCGTTGAGGTATCTTTTTCTTTGCATACACTTGTCAGGATTTTCTTCAACTTACTATTCTTATATATTCCCTTAATCTGTGTATGTATCCTTCTTATTTAAATTTTATAAGGGATTAATAAAATAAATGTGATAAATAAAATCACTGCGACTGTCATTATTACAAAAGGTCAATAATAATAAAAAACTACATTTAATTGTCTATGAGTGAGCGACTTAATCCACCAGGTAAAGCTTTTTACAAGAGATTCGTGAATGAGAACCAGGAACCCATTCCATCATGATAAGTTAATGAATGTGATAGTTGAGTGTGTGCAGCGGTATCATTACTTGATGATCAAGGAATTGAGATGCATGTAAGAACCTTGTTTTGCTGTATACTTGACAGCTTGTTCCCATCAAATCTACTTGGGCCTGGGACTGTGACCACATTAAACAATTTAAGCTTACGATTCTCTCAAAGTCTGTTTTATCCATGACCACACAAAACTGTGATTTTTTCTAAAAACAAAAGTGTTATCATTGTATGAATATTTTAATTATTATTAGATTTAAAAACATTCAAACAAAATATGTGCCATGTAAATATATAATTAATATAATAATTAAGTTCTTCAAGCCTTCATATCTTCTTATAATGGATTAAAAACTGTTTAAATGTTGTGATTCAATCAAAATATCACCTTTGAAATCAATCAATGGTTACATGAATATTTTTCAAATAAGACATTAAGATATTGTGTGTGCACATTAAGTAATTAAACAATAGGTTGGTATCAATTAATTCACTAGTCGGATTTTAAGACTTGATTTTCTTAAGGGGTTTCTGGATGCTGAGCATATTTATCTAGTTTATGGAATGAAACTCTTTCATATCTTGTTTATGATATGACTGGTTTGCAAAAATTACTTGTGATTGTTCATGGACTTCTATGTGTTATAATTAAAAAAACTGAGAACCAATCAAAAGAGTTTTTTGGAGTCTTCATCTTCCCATGCTAATTATTAAAATTACTTTCATTTACTAGCCAGGATTCAATTAATCCTAATGTGCTAGAATTGGAATTGATTGGATCAAGAAATTTACAAATAAAATACATGGTAGTGATGAATTTGAGTTAACTTGAACTACTTTAATACTCTATTAAAAAAAAATCATTGACACTCAAGTGAAGATTCCTTGCTTCTGAAATTCAAAAATTATTGGAAAGAAAACAAGGGTTATTATTGCGAGCAATTCAATCAGAATATCATAAATGTAAATGTTTAAAAGTATCCTACCAAAAAGTTTTTCTCCACTTCTTCAGTGGAAAGGCGCCAGTTAAAATAACGAAAATTGCTATTTAATAAAATAGACATTTAGCATTTTTGTGATTTCTGCAATCATATGTTGACTTCACTACTGTGTTTAATAATACCTAATTTCACCAGTAATCCCTGGACCAAATGCTGATCCAATATGCAGTGGTCCTGTATTGAACACAACCCTTTGTGTTTGAACATTTTGGATGCCATAGTAACCGACCCATAAACCATCTATATAGAGGTCTAACCTCTTTTCAGAATCAGAAAGGGTGTAACTTAGATGGTGCCATTTATTCAACGAAAGCTCAGAACTAGTCTCCTCAATTCCAGCATTCCATTCCCAGTCACCTGAGAAACGGACATGGAGTGTAGTTTTGCCTTTATTCGTCCAGAGTGAAGGGGTACGGATGTTATGTTGAGTGCCTAAAGGTGTGTGTATTTTATTCAATTTGAAAAGTGTCAGTTTAGACAACTAAGAAACAAATAAATAATCACATTTTCAGGGATGTTCTTGCAAAAAATCAACCTTTATGAAAAATGCAGGCCCAATCAGAATTAAGACTTTTAACTTTCAAATCTAGAGTCACTGAAAGCTCATCATTTACCTCGGGTAATTCATTATGTTGCACGATTTTATTTTCAGAATCAATTAGGGAAATGGGTTCAGATATAATTTCATAAAACTCTTTTACTTTTACAACAACTCTCTTCATTTTTCTGAATTGAAAAAAAAAAGTAGATTGATAATTCAACAAGTTGCAAACATGTCCTTTTTATACAAAATAAAAGATTGTATGAAATACACCATTTTAGATGATAACAAGTTTATGAACGAGAATACGACGTGGAGTGCTTAGTCAAATATGCAATATGTATAATAATAAATTTCAAAGTAAATGAGCCTCGTTTAACCGAAATTACATCTATACCGAAACTCATTAAGTGGTGGTCTGCCGATCAATGATAGAAATTTAGTATTAGTATGCAGATCCAGGATTTTAATATTAATATTAATCTTGAATTAAAAAAAACGCTTTTGGATTTTTAGAAATATAATGATAAATTATTTTTTTAATAATGATCATTTCAATTATTATCTAGACTTTTGATTTGCATTATATTTACCAACTTCATTGAAATGGAAAAACAATTTTCTTAAATAGTAAAAGTATATATTGCGCGTTGTAAAAGGTTACATCCACACGTTCCATGACCAAATAGAAGTCACAAATAAACTTAAGGTATTATATTTCTCCTTGAGAAAATAAAGAAACTTGCCTTAATATTATAATAGTATTGATATTAGTACTGTTTTGTCGTGACGTAATAATGAATAAAATTTTATGCAGATAGATAATTTATTTTCATGCCTTTTACTAATATAGATAAATTTTAAAAATAACACGCAAGAAAATAAAATAATATTATGGATAGAAATAACACTATAAACGAGACTTCTGAAGAAGACTTAATCGTGAATGACACATATTAATAGTAATAGTCAACCCTGTTAATCCAAACACAATAAAATTTACATGGTTACCCAATTTGAGTGAAAGTATAATTTATCATAATTTCTATTTTTGTTTGCTGGTATCAAAGTTAACTAATATTTTTATAATCTCACGTGAAATCCAAATTAGCCAACCAGAATCTCGTATCCAAATTTTAGTAAAATCGATAAGAATCTTTTTTTTTTGTTTAACATTAATTAAATTAATATTATAAATACTTAATTTTATCTCTTAGAAATTCCTTATATCGAATTTCTTTAATTTATAAATATTGAATATACTGTATATAGTATAAACGAGTCCTAGACTGGAATAAAAGCAAATCCAAATCCAAATTTACATATAAATCTTTGATGCATTTTCAGATTGAAAGTCCATTTTTTCCTTGTTTCATTTAAGAAATTATTTAAAAACCAACAACAATAATGAATTCATTACAACTAGTTCAAGGTCCTAATACTATGTAGACTTATCTCAATTGTTATCGAACCCTATTCTTTTCAATTGTTGTTCATTGTCAAGAATTCCATTGTCAATATTTTCACTCGATTTTTTTTTAATTTTCTTTTTAAAGAATGTGCTTCACCGCCACCTTTTCCTTCACAGTGGAAAATTAATTTTATGTGAAGCTCTTCTAATACTACCAAAAACCATTTATACCAGGTTTTGACAATTGTCAGGAAATGAAGATGAATTCCATGTTTAAAATTCGCATTTGAACAGTCCTTTTGTTTCTTTAAGCGGAAAATCAGATTGATCAGAAACTAAAGTCATATTCATATCTGAGTTACAATAATTAAACAATCTTTGTTACTATTACTATATAATTATTAATAAAAATTTCGATTTCCTTATAAGCAATACACCCGATTGTCCGGAATAAAAAACCGATCAGACCTCATTCTACAGTCCCTTTTCAGTACGTAAGGTGTCGCAAGACGACAGCAACGTCAACTTGACATGCTTGAGAGACAAATATATTTTAACACTGTCTCGATTATATCATCATTGCCTAAGGTATGCTGGGAGCAGCTAAACCAACAACGGTCAACAAATTACGGAAGGTATTAAGAGAGTTTTGATTGATCAGATTACCACCGAATGGTTCCGATTGTTAATTAAATTAATTAGTTATTCAAAAAGCGATTCTACAATGATATTAGCTATTGTAAACGATCTCTCATCAAGAAAACAGACACAAATTGTTGATAATCAGGAACATCAGTGTTGGAATTGGACTTATTGGACTCTGGAACAATTCTAATGGGCAGCCAATCATATTTCAGCATTTATTTAACAAGAGAATATTTTTTTTATGTTGGACTTTCTATTTGTATTAATGATCTTTTAATAAATAATAAATACACTGAAATTCATACCCGGGAGTCTTTTTTTATTTGTAGAAAAATTTTGTACGTTATTTATTTCTTTAGATGATGTATTAATAGAACATCCACCATCATTGTAAAATTCATTTTCAATTGTAGTTCCTGTATCAATCTCAGTGAACCAATTTAACACCTCCTCCTCATTTGAGAAGTTAATTCAAAAACATTTACAATTCAACAAATGATTATGACAAGTTTTTTTAGTTGATATTTATATTAGGTTGAGAGCTCTTACAAGCAATTCAGATGCCCAAGTGATTATGACCATTTGGTTTAATCAGGTAAAACATGAAAGTATTTTTTATATCGATTACTTCCTTGATAGCATTGAAGAGCAATAAGTTACGATTACGGTAATAAAATTAATCGAGAGAAATTCGAGTCCAATAAGTCCAGTCCAAACCAATTGGACTGGTCCAATGTACAACAACTAAACCACTTTTTTACTGCGCCAATTGGACTGGACTGGACCAAATGGCCCGAAGTCTAATAAAATGATTGGGACTGACAATTTTGACAAAACTGAGGAACAGTGATGTAATAATCCTCTAAAAATGATACTACGTGTATTATTAATTCGTAACCCTTTTAAGAAGGAGTGTAAAAGAAGCTTTGGCAGTTTAAAAAAAAAAAGATTTATTTATACGGGTGTCAACAATTAATTGTTTATTTTAGTGATGTTTAGTCGGCTAAGTCGTTTAAAAATTCCTTGACCATCTAAGCCGGCTAACATCACTAGTTTATTTTATTAATATTAAAATATACGTGTAATCAGAAATGCACCCCGTAGGTATGGAATCTTGAAATATAATATATTAAGTAATTCAAACTATAAGTAACTATTGGTTAGTTAGTTATTAGCGTAAGAAAAAATTAGTTTGAACTGGTACTACGTTGCGTTATCCTTTTTTAGAGAAGAGGGGACACTTAACTAGAATTTGAATTGAACCAATCAATTGTTTATGACTAAAGTTTTTTTGGCAATTAATAATTAAAGTTCTTTTTACGCCAAAAAAATAATAATTTCATGTGGATAATAATTAATTGTTGTGGCGCAACAAAGTAAACCAACTCTAAATCATAGTAGAGGTTACACACGTTTATCTTATTAGAAAAATTTAACTATATAGCTGATTTTGCAAAAAACTACCTCTTAGTGAAGAGAGCTTTGGCCCATTTATCTCAACTATAGCAGACACAATCAACCACAACATCCTCATTCAGAATCAAAGTGAAGATTTTCACTTTGATTACTATACACACCGATATGGTCTTGGAGAGAACGAATATTACAACTATCCTTAAAAGGGATAACCAGTTTCAAAAAGTCGAGTTAATAATTTTTTCAAAGTTCACGCAAAGGTGACTGTGCAAAAAGAAACTACTTACTTTGACATCAATGGAAGTCCTGCATCAAGGCAACAATCCTCTGCAGAATGCTTCGCTCTTACCACGCACAAAACTCATGTAACTGTCAACATTGATGAAAATATGTCTGGTACACATAGCTATGGGTAGGGTGTCTTCTTGAGATCTTGGATTTCGACTTTTCTTGTATAAAAACTGATCAGTCTGTGATTCAAAATACAGGTGATTGAAAAGCGTGAACCAAAGAGGTCTTGGCCAAATTAAAAAGTAGCAAAAGCAATTAATTAATGCCTAATTAACATATATGATAGCCTTGAATTTGTATTATATACATTAACAACATATGCGCTGATTTTGTTTGATCCCCAAAATTCAGTACGGTGTGATCATAACATTATGAATACTTTATACTAGTAAAAACCCATTGGTTTTGAGGTGGGGCCATTGGTTTGACGAGTTGTTGAATAGTAAATTAGTTTTTTTAGCGGAGCAAATATTTTTTTTTAGGGTAATTATCATTCTACCGACCAGTTTACACATTAAAAATACTCGTCGAGACACAATAAGCCATAAGGTTTGAAAAAAGCCAAATCGGCTGATATGCATAATAAAGTTTCACAAAAAATTTCATGAAAACTCACTGCGCACCCCTGCAAAAATCTTATTTATTTCACGCACATGTAAACGATTATTTGATACTACTTGTTGAATAAATAAAAAAGACTAATCATCTTTTTATTTTCTCTATTTCTTAAAAAAAATGATTTTAACTATTATTCTTACGGTTTTTATTATAATTAATGGATATATTATTCATCTATTAATTAAATATCCAAACCGTGCAATTGGTTCTACTGATAGAGCAGATTTAAAAGGACCAAGTGGTCTACCAATTATCGGAAATTTACTACTTATGAGACGATCGGGAGATCTTTTATCTTTTATCAATGATTTGTTTTTAAAATATGGAACCGTCACGTATAAATCATTATCATCATCATTGTTAAGTAATTATAATATCAATACATTTATATATGATAATCTTTTTTTTTTTTGCGTTAATTAGAACCTTTACTTCACCTCTGCTTGGAAGAGTTATTTTATTAAATTCACCTTCACACATTGAATGGTTTCTTAAAGGTTTGTAGTTTTCATTTTTTTATCGAAAGAATAAATTTAATTGATAAACTCCCCTTTTTTTTTGACAGAGAACTTTGAAAATTATGTGAAAGGCAAAGCAATAACAGAACTGAGAAAAGAATTGTTTGGTGATGGAATTTTTAATTCAAACGGGTGGGTAACTTTATAAAATAAAATTACAAAATAAATTATTAACAACAATAATAATTTAATAATTTATGTAAAAACAAAGTGAAACGTGGAAATTTTATCGAAAAATTACCAATAATTTGTTCATTGCTAAAAATTTTCGTGAAATTTTTTGTAATGTATTTGAACAAGAGACAAAGACAGTTTTAAATATTTTGAATGATACAGCAAACAAAGATGACACAATCGATTTACAAGATTTATTTTTCAGATTTACTTTGGATACATTTGGAAAGTTAGTGATCATTTTTTTTCTATCTAATTTGTTATATGATAATTACCTAATTAAAAAAAAATTTTTCCTCAATATAATATGATTTTTTAGAATATCCTTTGGAATTGACATGAAATGCCTTGAACAATTAGACGACCCCTTACATTTTGCTATAGCATTTGATTATGTGCAACAATTTGTGTCTCAACGTAAAGAAAATCCATTATGGAGATTTACTGAAATTTTCTCAGAAAGAGGTAAAAGGATTAGAAAGGAAGTTAAATACTTGGATGAGTTTGCATATAATATTATAAAAGAAAGAAAATCAAAAAATTTCAATGATAGTGCATCATCATCAGATGTTCCAAATGATCTGTTAAAATTATTTATGGATGCAAGAAAAGATGATGGTGAAACGTTAACAGATAAAGAATTAAGGGATATGGTTATTAATATGATGATTGCTGGTTTGTTGTAATCTCTATCATGATATTACTATGTTATCATATTTATTATTAATATATTTTCTTTATATATATAAATCTACTATCATAGGACGTGATACAACTGCAAATGTTGGTAAATTTTTTTTATAATGAAAGAATCAATAAATTTACATATATATATATAATTTATATATATATATATTCATTTTCAGGCACTTACTTGGATGATGTATAGTCTAATGACAAATCCATCTGTAGAAGATTCTTTAATTAAAGAGTTGAATCAATTGTTGCCACCAGAAGAAAATAAAATGCCAACATTTGATAATATCAAAAAGTTTCATTATGCTGAAGCTACATTTTATGAAACACTTCGATTATATCCAAGTGTTCCAAAAATTTTTAGGGTAAATTATTTTATAAATATGGAATGAATTTTTTTTTAAAAAATAATTGGTTACATAATAACCATGTTTAAATTGTTTATTTATTTGTTAGATGTGTGTAAAACATGATATTTTACCTGATGGTACACATGTATATCCTGGAGAATTTGTTCTTTGGTCACCTTGGTCTATGGGTAGAGATGAAAGAATTTGGGGTGAAAATGCATTACAATTTTATCCTGATAGATTCTTAAATTCCAAAGGTGTATCGAAACCATCCCAATTTAAATTTCCTGCATTTCATGCTGGTCCAAGAATCTGGCAAGTTTTCAAAATTAAACTTCATGACTTGCATCAAATCTTTATAACTTGCATTAAAATCATTTACATCTTTTATATTATATTTATATAGCTTAGGACAACAATTTGCTACTGTTGAAGCATTGATATTGGTTACATCAATGTTAAAAAAATTTAGGTTTGAACTAATACCTGGTCAAGAATCACCTCCACCATATATTCCTACCATAACCTTACCAATGAAAAATCCTTTATTGGTAAAGGTTTATCATCGTAATTCTTAAATATAATCTTTTAATAAAAAATAAAAATGTATTTTTTTCCTTTCAAAAATAAAAATAATGAAATTCCTAGATATAGATTGAAAATTAAATTGAAAATTCATTTTTTGGTTTATCAGCAGTTTTTGTACAGAATTAGCTTTAATGTTACTCAGAATTGGTTTTTTTTAAAAAAAAAAGTACTTTTACTATTCTAGATTGATGGTTTAGATGGTGTGGGAATTGCTTCTATTTCATCAAAACCTTATATGGTTCAAGTCATCTATATATAAATGTCTCAGTCCAAAATTTTAGAAGATCTTTCTAATTTAAGCAATCAGATCTCTTTGTTGGAATGATTTTTTGTATCACGAAAATTTTTAAGCTGATCATCAACCTTTTAGGATCACAATCGAAACTCATTCCGAAATTTTACAATTTACATATAGACATATTGTGAGCATGTAATTTTAAGTACAGCCTGAGAAGTATCCAATAAATATATAAGATAAAAAATAAGTACAAGTACAAAATCCAAACCATTTTATAATTTTTTCCTTGTTGGCCATATTGCTGACAAAGATATATATTATCATGCAATTAGTCATCACAATCATCATATTCATGAATATTCATTAAGGGGGTTACACTTATCAAAATCAAGTGATTGACACATAATTTTA